AGTCCAGAAACAGGTCACTGTCAATGGTCCCTCTGCCCAGACTCAAGGTGGATGCGTTGTACAGTCTTATGGCAGAAGGCAAGAATGACCTCCTGTAGCGCTCCAGGAGGAACTACAGGAGGAAATACAGGAGGAACGCAAGGATAACAATGCATTTTATTTCAATTACATGTAATCAATTGTGCTGAGCAGTCTTTTGTACTGTTCATTCATCTTCACGCTGTTTTTGGCCGGACAGTGCCGATTTTCAGGCGGGCGACCCACATGGTATGTGTACAATCACATCTGTTAATTTCTAGTAAAACACCTCCAGCAGTCTGCGTGTGTAACATGAAAATCTGGCTTGTCTACCGTTCGCTAGTGCATCTGACAGACTCAAAACCAAACGCAGTACAAATTATTACGTTCTTCTGCATATTGTGCACTATTGCAATGACCTAACGTGGTGTAGCTCTGGTCTGAGATCGCTTAGCCTGCTCTTCTTTTCTTCAGCTTCAAAAAACACGATGGTCTCCATTATGGCCGCCTTCCATTAGGATGATCCACAGCCACAACAGAAAGAATTCAACGACCCGAGCCGATGAACAAGACGTTGTGTTGCACATTGAGGGAGTCAGAGACGATCGCCCTAGGCCGTTTCCTGGTTCGCCCCTTTCCAGGGCTGGCTCTGCAGACAAAGCTGAAAGGCGCCTAAATATTCAAAGGTGCATTTAAGACTGGTCTGTCCTTCACTCCCGAAACCCCTGTGCACTAGGCGTCCGGTCTGGGCTGAGCTGCTACAGGGAGAGTCGTTTCCCAACTGCATCCGCACCACAGGGCCTGTGGATCTCAGGGCTCTGCAGCAGATCCAGCAGCCGTGGGACTGAGTGTCCGACAGTGAACCTCTCTTCTGGTACAGGGCTGAAGGCTTTCCCTTCTGCGTGCGCGCTTAATTGAGTTAATTGAATCAATTAGCCAGCTGATTGTCGATGGGGGGGTGGAGGACAACCACCCTTGCTCTGGGCAGGCCCGGCTTCTTCCCATGTGCCAGACCTGGGGGGGGCGGAGCCCCTTTTGAGTGACAGCTCCCCCCGGTGATAAAGAGCCCAGGAAACGGCACCTCAGTACATAAGCGCTCCGCCGCCGCGGCAGCTAATGGGATGCAGGCAGTGAATGAGCCGCCCCAATAAAGAGCAATGAAGTGGTTTTAACAGAGTCAGTCTGGCTGGGGGAAGCAGAGGCGGGTGGGGGAGGGGTGTGTGTGTGTGTGTGTGTGTTGGTGATTTACGGTCGGTAAGCTGAATATTACTGCCAGCCCCCTCTGCCCATCCATCTCTATCCCTGCCAGCCCCTCTCTGCTGCTGTGACCCGGCACAGGTGAGCGGTAGCAGCTGTTCCTTTCCATGCCTACCTGCTCCATTGCATTCTGCTGGACAGTCCAGCCCACCTCAGGGAAGGCCATCGGTACCTCATGAGCATCCCTGGCCCTCACCTCTGTAACTAGCTGGCCTGCTGCTGCAGAGCGCTGGACTCCCTGATCCCTGCCACTCCAGACACACAGAGCCCCCGGGTTTTTAATCTAACCCCTCTGACTAATCGTTTGCACGGGTGAGCCTTTGTGCGATCGTCTCTGACTCCCAGTAACAAAGGATTTGGTGAGAACATGAGTCTAATTACAGGGGTCAGTCCCTGACCAGGCCGCGAGCCTGTGGAGGAGGCAGAGGTGACAGGACGGACTTCCCAGTGGGACAGATTTTCCTGTCTGCGAGGAGTTTGCGTGGGGAGCCCGAGAGGGAGTGATTGCAGCGTGTGCTGGGCAGAGTTAGAAACACAGGCCAGGCCGCCCCCAGCGACGAGGGAAGTGGGATAACTGATGGAAGTCTTATCATGGGATAACCCCCTCTTCCTTCTCCTGCTGGTCAGCGGGCCTTGCTGATGTTTGGCTTCTCCTTGACAGCTTTACTGCAGGACACAGAGCTGAGAAGTCCCAGAGCCCCAGCCTTTCTGCCACCCAGCTCTCTCGCTCTCTCTCTCTCACACACACACACACTACAGAAAACAGAACCCACAGGGAGATCCCTATCTAGCAGAACAGCCTACAGTAATGGCAGCAGAATCAAGCAGGCAGACAGTGCCTCTCAGCACAGTGCAGCAAGAGGTGCTGGAATGAGGCACAGCGGAGTGGTTTGCAACACGGCAGAGCGCTGACAGTATGACAAACTGCCGTGTGACGTCATTCGGCACCATGCGTCGCAGCCCTGTCCCGTACATACGCGGCGCAGCAGAACAGAGAACAGGCTCGTTTTTCGGTGCAATAAACGTGCATTACAAGAAGGAGTAATAAGATGCAGTCCGCTGAGCGATCTTTATACATGAAACCAGGACGAGACCGGGGGCTGACAGATGGGTTGCTGTCACTGGGCAGGTTAATGATGCCACAGCAGACTGTGGACACAGGTTCGCCACTTGTAAACCGGGCGGCGTGACGGCAGCAGTGGTTTTCATGTTGCTTCAGCTCGGGGTGAAGGGAGCGGAGCTTGCTCGTGAAGTCTGAGGCTTGTTGGCTCGTGCTGCTGGTCAGCGCCGGTGGTGCTGCTGCCTCACAGCTCCTGAGTCCAGAGTCTGATTGCACACTGGGACGCCTGTCCTGTCTGTGTGGAGTTTGCACGTCTTCCCCATGTTGTTTCCTCCCATTTCCTAAAGACAAGTTGCTGGCCGTGTTCATCGGTATCTCTAAACCATTCCCGCCTGCGAGTGTGTGCTCTGCGATGGACTGGCTTACTATCCTCCGTGTGTTCCAGTGCCCTGTGCTCCCAGGACAGGCTTCAGGCTTCAGGAATTGTGTGGCTGATCGGGGATGGGACCCCCAGACTGGTGTTTCTCATAAAGGCCTTTTACTTGGGTTGAGCTCTGGGGTCATGGCTAGGA